TTCATTAATATCATTTTAAATCTGGTACATTTTTTGGACATATTGGCTAAGATGAAATATTAAATTTTGTTTCCTTTTACTTTTTAAAATGTGATAAGTAGGAAATTTAAAATTATATATATGGGTTGTATTTTTGACTTGCTTTATATTTCTTTAGAATAATTCTGATCTAGTTTCTCAGTTTCGGTACCTTATTCATTTAATCAATAAATTCAGCTCAATCAACCAGATCTGAAAGCCACTGGGTCATGAATCACCAACGTATGTTTCTCATATAAGCCACGTACTACAAAAGATGCCGGTCATAGAAGATATAATAATACAATTGCTGACTTCTCAAAGATCTCAATTAGGGGCATTGAAAAAAGAATCAAAGCAAATTAATATGCTACTGAAACTTAGGAGAGAAGCACTACAAAGTCTCAAAGAAGGATAGCCAGTGTCTTAAAGAATGAATTTTTTTTCATTTCATTGCTGGGTACTGGGTGGGATTTTGAGTCACAGGGGACCATGAGTGTGAGGACTCAGGGTAAAGGAAGAATGTATTTGGGGAAATGAATATATTCCAAAAGGCTAGAAAATGTCAGTGGGGAGGGGGTGACCCATGAGATCTCAAAGGTAGGCAGGGGTGGAAAAGAGAAACTTGCATGGCACTCTGAGAAGTGTCAAATATAGTTAAAAATGTAGAGTGTGGACGATAAAGTCAGATTTCTATTTCAAAAAGGTCACTGGAGTGACGCTGTGGAGTGATGCTGTGAGTGGATAAAGTGGGTAGATCTTAGGGAGGAGAAGGAAGGGAAGAAGGCAAACAGGGTGTCTACGTCGATGGCCAAGACGGCAATAATGCAGGTTTGCACAAATGGCAGAGATTGGAGAAGTATTTAAAGAGGCAGAACTGGCAGGTCTGTGGGACTTGCCAGGTGTAAGAAGTGAAGAAAATGAAAGTTTATCAACTTTAGTGTCACGCAGGATGAAAGGTACATGTTACAGTGGGCGTTCACAAATGAACCTGGCTATCCAAAAGTACTCTTCAGGAGTGACCCCAAGCTGACTGGTTGGCCTCGAATGGAAACCATTTTTACACTGGAGGTACCCTTAGCACCCAGATCAGTCAAATACTCCCCTCAGAGATCCCTACCTAAACTGGGTTTATTCTTGGCCAACTCATTTCCTTGTTTCAGTTTTTAAATCTTTGCACTATAGCCAAGGCATTGAGGGAACACTGGTGAACCAATGTACACTGTGTTGTTTTTCTGAAGCAATTAGCGCTCACTGCATTGAGAGAGCCTGGTGTTCTTTGCGTCTCTGAGCAATCACCTTCTCTCTGGTTCACATGCTATATAACTGAGTTCACATAATCAGTGTGGTGCATTTTCATTACCTCTCCTAGTTTAAATGAAAAGACAAATGAAGGCAATTCTAAAAAATATCCTGACAAATAGGCACACAAATAAAGTTGTAACTTCATATTCTATGAATCTAGTTCAGTAAAGATTTTCCTTGAAGAGCTTACTATGTGTCAGCTACTTGTCTGATCACTACGATAAGTTGAATCAGACCACCGAAGTCCTTAAACATGATTCCTAACTATGTGACATCTTATTCTCTCCACTGCTCACACTAAACCTGCCATGGTATTTCTCATTTCTACCTTCCCTTCCTCTTCCAGCCTACTTATAACACTTGAGCAGAACTCTTAAAGGTAAGTCACATCATGCCATGTTCTCTGCTTAATAAAATTTCATGTCCTTAACATCTTCTGTGATCTGATTTTGATTACCATCTCTAATTATCTCCCTTATTTCATTCGCACTTGGCTACTTTACTGTTTTCTGGAATATTCTAGAATATTCTAAGCCTGTTTCTATTCAGACCCTTTTTTGTTCCTGTGCCTGCTCTCTCTCTCCACTTGACAGCATCATGACTTGTTCTGTCACTGTCTTCAGACTGCTGCTCAAACGACATTGAGTCCTTTACTGATGACCTGGCATTCTCGGTCCCACCTCATCCTGTTTTACTCTTCACACAAGTATTTGTTCAAAACAATACATCTACTACCACTGGAATGTACCTGCTTATAATTTGCTTTTCTTAACAATCCTGAAAACTCCTCAGTGGAGGATATGTGTTGATTGCGTCTGTTTTCCAGCACTAGAATGCTGACGGGCATGTGGTCAGTGCTCAACATACTCTTTTTGACTGGATTAATGAATGATTAATTACGCAGAAGATTTTAAGGGACCAACAAGGAGGGTACAGGACACGTCCTGGAAAAAAACAGGGAAAATCAGAAGAGTTCTTAAGGAGGTAATGTTGGGGTAGATCCTCATTTATTTAATTAATTAATTAATTAATTTTTGTGCAGGCATCTATTCATTCAGTAAATTTCTGTGGAATCCTATGCACCTGGCCCTATTCTAGGTCTCTGTTCATGTGGAACTTGCAATCTAATAGAAGAAAACACAAGAAGGAAGCGAATGTGTAAGTGAACAAGAAAAATACCTTATCTGTATGCTATGCAAGGATCTAAAATAGTACAACGTCTATGACAGCAGCTAAGTGTTGGTTTACATTGAGTTATCAAGGAAGCATCTCTAGAAGTGACATCTCAGTGGGGACCAAGGGGCAAGAAGAAAGCAGCCACAAGAAGGTAAGGGGTGCATATTAGCCGGGTGTGGTGATGTATGCTTTTAAGCCCAACTACTTGAGAGGCTGAGGCAGAAAAATAGCAAGTTCTAACCCAGCCTGAGCATTTTAGTAAGACCTATTTCAAAATATAAATGAATGAATGGATGGATGGATGGATGGATGAATGAATGGGTTGGTGATGCACATCAGGGTTTTCTAGGCTCAGTCCTTCATACCAAAAAGTATATGTGTGGCAGCTTGTGCACACAGCACAAGCAGGGCACTATTCCTAAGTGGAAAAGCCTGGACAGCCAAAGGCAACAGTGTAGCTTCAGGGCAATGGACAGGGAGAGAGGCACAACATGAGACCACACAGGACTAGTGTTCACAAGGGTTGGTTCCAGAAGGCACAGCATGGGGAAAGCCAGGCAGGAAAACACTGCTGATGGAGAGCACAGCATAAGCCAAGGCGAGCAGGCATGAAATAGATTGGTATATTGAGAACCTCAGAAATTTATTTCTCTTGGGTTCAATGCACAGCCAGAGATGGAATCTGGAATACTGTGGCTTCCCAGGAAGCTTTTGGCACCACACTTTGTTGCACTTGAGGAAAGAGAACTATTTTTCTGGAAAACATATCCTTAGGGAGAAGCTCTATAATTAACCTACAATAAAGACTACACTAAAATGTACATTGCTGAGAGGACTCAGATATATATTTATGCGCCTGTTAAACTTACAGCTGGTAAGCAAATACAATTCTGCATATTCTCTGAACACCATCCCAGACATGTTAGCTGTTACCAACCCTGGCTTAGACAGTGCATTGAAAGATGAGCAGGTTAAGTCACTCTGGGACTCAGTTCCACACCTTCTGTGCCCCCTGCCATTGCCACAGCTGTCCAGCACCTCACTGAGTCCCCACTGTACCTGTCTGGAACAATTCTTACCCCCACTTATTTTATCAGCTTTGCCTTCTGCAGTTTTTTTTACAGTTGTCTGCCTTTACTAAAAGATATTTTTCTTTTCTATCACCTCAGCTAATTCTAGTCAATACCACGTTTTAGGGAGGCTGCTCTGTAGCTCAACAACTTCCTCCTCTCCAGATAAAAATGACACAAACAAAACAAACTGAAGCATGGGATTAACATGCTTAAATGTATTTCTTCCCCTTGGTAGCTGTGTCCTCAAGGAGAGCTAGGTCTTTGGGAATCTTGAGAGACTGGAACCTTTGTAACAACTAGAATCCTGTTATCAGTAGAACCGGATTCCTCAGAGAAGGTAGTGTTGAATTCATGACAAGGAATTTAATTTAAGTTCACAACTGATCAAATAAATTGTGGCTTATGGGTAACTACTCAATATATGTCTTTTAGTGGCCTGCTACTGACCAACACTGTGTGTTGAGATTGAAGCCCTTTAGAAACTACTGCTTTATGCATCACATTAAAAGACATGATGAGGTACAGCAAGATAAAATATTTATCCCAGGAGACAACAAATGGAGAGTGAGATTTCCACTAACAAAGGCGCATTGTCTAGTCTTGCACTTAAATCTCTTCTGCATATTCATCACGTGACAAGGTGAACGTCTTTGAAAGGTTACCCAACAGCCAAAAATTTCATTGTAAATAATGCCAAACAATTCTGAGTAAATGTTATCTGTTACACAGCCATTTACTTTTTCAAGTTTTGGATGTACAAGACATACCCAATGTTTTCAAGTACTTTCATATCAGGAGGTAAAATCAACCATGCATAAAAATGCCAGAATTCATGAACTTTAATAATGATGTGTGCAGTTAACTGTCTTTGAAAGGCTGATAGGTGCTTACACAAACGAATGCATGATGACTTCTTGGTAAGTACTGAAATCCTGAAATGTTCAGGAAAAGGGATATTCTATAAAGTGAATGAAAACAGAAGGTCAGGACTTGCCAGGCTGCTGAAAGGAACACTTTGAAAAGGGAGTCTTGATTTTAGATGCAAAACATTCCTAAAGTCCACACCTTAAAGTCTCTCTTAAAATAGAAACTATCAAAAAATAAATTAAATACGGTTTTAAGACAAAGATAAGGAAATATTGATAGGTTCAAGAAACATAGCATGAAAGTATAAAACAACAATGACTATTTTATTTCAGTTTTCTAGTGTTTTTTCTTATTGATGCCTAAAGAAATGAACTATTTTTAGGGTTTAAAACTTATCTTTTTTTTTGTACTGGGGATTGAACTTACGACCATACACTTGCAAGACAAGCGATTATGCCGCTGAGCTAAATCCCCAGCCCCAAAACTTATCTTCTATAACAACCAAGTTGTGACTACTTATTCAGCTTACATAATTAAAAATAAGATTAGCATTAGAGTTACCTGAAATTCCAGTCCATAGTTTTCTCTGCAGAATTCTCTCAGTTTAGGATACACATTTTCTCGTAGTGCCTGTCTTTCTGCTCCTGTATCTAGAACAGAAAAGGCAAACATATAGAAAGTATTACCCACATAGATATTTCTCAAAAAGATGAATACTTAAATATTAATCAAGCGGTAGTTTGGCCGCTGGAATAATTCCACAGAAATCTACACACCTGGCACACACAATGAACCCCCAGGATGAACAAGACCCCAACAGTCAGTTTTGTGTGCCATTGGGACTGTGGACTCAATGTGGATTCTTGTATCCACACGGGGGTTCCCATCAATGTCTTAAACAGTTGTGAGCAGCTTGTCTTTGGAGGTCTAAAGACACAGCATAAGGCTAGCAGATGTTTTGGCTCAGCATAAAAGTTTCAACATACACATGTTGATTGACTTAGTTACTGACAAAAAACATCCAGCTTCTATATCATTATTTTCTAGAGTATTTAGAAATAATGCAGTTCTTTTTTTTTTTTTTTTTTTTTTACAAAACTCACAATAGCATCCAAGCAATCAGAGCAGACATATTGTGTAAGCCAACATTAGGAAACTGCAGCTTTGACCCTCTGTAGATTCAGTGGGTCAATGGTTTAATACAGTAACACCTCCAAATTTGAGCTTACGGATTTCATGCTTAATCAGAGAAGGGAACTACGTGATACTTGCCACACCATGTAAAATTTCTAAAATAAAATATTTTTCTACCATTATTAAACAACACAAGAAGAAACAGAGAACCTGAAACCAGAACAATCACAAAATTAACACCCATGTTCTTAATCTTGAACATATTGCACAGAAAGGCATTCCAAGTCTTCCTGTGCTGAATGACAAGATTCTCTTGTATCAATGATGACACTCTAAGATTCTTGGACCCAACTGAAGCTGTTCCTTGCCCAAGAACTTCAGCAAAACACGAGAAATATTGTTTTAAAAAATTAGGTTAATGTGTCTCTGAAAAATATCCTCTGCTAAATGCAATTCAATCCCAGCTACAGCATACCATATTTATAATGGAAATAACAATTTAAAAGAATTTCCTTGTTATTCTCAAGCACATCTGTCTATGAAAACTTGGCCATATGCTGTGGTGACCTACTCTACTTTTCTACTGTTCTCAAGCCTATTTTGAGAAGCAAATAATTACTCATGAGAGTCTGAAATGTAGCTGACAGCCTGGCAGAGGGGCAGAAACCAGAGTTTACATGCAAATGACAGTTAGAGGAGCCCAAAGTCTTCAAACTACACTGTGACCTTAGGAGGTCTTTCCTGACCTTAGATCCAATGGGATCTGAGCCCATAGGGGAAGCAGCAGGAAGCCGAGCACGGCTCTGGAGTGTCATGGCATGGCCAGAGGCAGCGTATCAAGATACACAAAATTCATGTAGCCTTGGGATCAGATGTCCATCCTTCTTTGCCCCATTTTAAAAACTGAAAACTTTAACTTCACAATAAAGCTGATGACAGTCAATCAACCTTTATGAAAGATCTTAGCAGATTTTTAAAACCTTGTAACAAAAATCATTTAAAGATATTACTGTTTATGGAAAGTGGAAATATATTAAATAAGGATTAGTGCTATAAAATTCAAAAAAACTAGTATCTGATACATGAAAAATTATGGAGTGACATAAGAATCAGGAATTTGTTTCTTTAAAAAATTTTTAACTACACTGGGGTGACAATACAGTTAGAGTAAATAAGATACAAAATGTGCAGTAGATATTGTGGCAATGGGGGATTTAGCTCAGCGGCATAAGCACCTGCCTTGCAAGCAGGCAGTCGTGAGTTCGATCCCCGGTACCGACAAAAAAAAAAAAAAAAAAAAAAAGGAAAAAGATATTGTGGCAATGAAAGGGAAAGAAAGTGCTCAAAAGGAAATAACAAGTGGGATAGGAGAAAAGAGACAAGACAAGAAAAGATTATATATATACACACACACACATACATACACATATGTGTATAAATATGTACAGGATAGATAATTATCCTGCTAGTCTCTGTTCATCAAAATGAACAATTGTATTTTCATTGCCTGATTATCATTTTTATGCTTAAATCTTGAAATTGAACAACTACTTTCAAAATAACAATATGTAATATATTAACTAATGTTCATTTCCTGTTTCTTTTCTTTGAAATTCTGTATCATTTTTATCCTGTTTTTAAAATAAAAAAATTAATTAAAAATCTGTTATTGTAATTCTTAGTACTGGTTACTAATTTCTGAGGTACAATAATAAAAAGATAATACAGTATGGAAAAAATAGAAATATAGTGCCCAATTAATGACATTTACTTGGTGCTTTCTATAGCCTGGTACTCTTTTAAGAACATCTATGTGTATTTTCTTAATTCATGTCTGATGACAACCTTGAAAGTAGGTAAAATTATTTAATTAAAAGGAAACAGAAGAAAACTTGTCCTAGGTCCTATGAACAAAGTTGGAGAACTCAGATTCGAAATGCTCATCCATAGAAATATGCAGCTGCTCAGTCAATCATTGAAAACAATTGGTACAATAAGTCCATGTGTGTCCTGAGGCTGAAATTATAAAAACTGAGTTAGAAATAGGACGTAACTCAATTTAGAGCACCTGCCTAAAATGTACTAGGGCCTGCTAGGTTCAATCACTACTGTCACAAAAAAGCAGAACAAAACAAACATGAAAATAAAAAAGACCTGAGAATTCTTCTCTTGCTATGATGCATTCTATAATAGCCAGTAAATTTTTTTCTCTCACTCTGTACAAAGCCTGAGTTAATCTTCCTCTCTCACTTTTTGTTATGGTTTATGTTTAGGATGGCCCCTGCCAGCCTCATGCAATCATAGATGTGACCAAATCTAGCGTTTGTGATTGGTTTGTTTTCAGTTCTCGGATTGGTAGGAATGCTACACCCACCCAGAGGGGGAGCCAGCCTACAAAAGGTTGTGTCTCACTCTCTCTCTCCTGCCCCTACAGCCTTCCTGTTTACAGCCAGCCAAGAATGGCTGGCTTGCTATGCCACCTTGCCACTTGGAACCAAATGAATATGGACTAAAACCTTCAACCTGTAAGAAATAGACCTTTCCTTCTTCCATTTTGGGTGTCAAGTATTTTGTCTCAGTGATGAGAAAGAAAGTAACCAAGGCACCTTTGTTACTGGATATGAGCCAAACTCCCCTCTCATCTGGGCTCTGCCCCTGCTTTCCTCCTCGACTCCCTGAATTCATTCAACAGAAAGCATCCAGACAGATCTTTTCAAAATGCAAGCCACAGCACACCACTACCTTCTTTCAAACAGCTTTTCATGGGATGATACATGACATTCATACTCCTTTCATGGAATGTTCTCCCACTATCCAAGCTCATCTTCCATTCTATCCTTGTTCGTGTTATCCCATCAATACCAGGTTCAAGGTGCTTCCTGGACTGCACTCCACTCATGGGCCTTTGTTCCACTGTCTCTTCCTGGAATGTTAAGTCCTAAGATCTTCTCAGAGAGTCTCTCTTCAAATGAGTGGCAGCTTTAATCCAAGACCATATCTGAGCGCTGTCTATAGGAGCCACCAAGCCACTGTCCACTTCCTTTTTCTAACTTTTGCACACCTACTTATCATTACTGTGATTTATTTACCGTCTCCTCCACGGAAATGTGAGCTAAAGGGAGTCAGTACCTTCTTTTTCCTCATTCACTGCTACCTTACCAATGATGAAAGTCATGCCCAGTTAATGAGGGAATGAAAAAGTCACGTGTAACCTGTAATAAAAGTGAGCTGGTGGATAATGCTACATCGCAATTATCTCCAGGATCAGAAAGGCTGCTTATATTACAATTAGTCATTGGACAGTTTTAAAAGCAAGACTACAGAATTCTGCAAAATAAATGGCAGGGTTGAGAATGTGGTGTCATGAGGTAATGAATGAACTGAAATGTTGATTTCTTTTTGGTCTCTGGTTCTCTGGCAGACTATGAATGCATTTTTACCAAGTTATTTTGAACCTTTCTAAATATGTGAAGGAAGCACACAAACCTATCTGATAGCCTTCTGTGCTCTTATACAAATGACTCAGATTTTCCTATATTTGTATTAATATATGATGATGGGCTCTGGAAATGGAAATGTAATTAGGATAGGATGGATTAATTATGATGGGTGACAGATAAGCTAGCTTCATTAAATAAGAAAATCCTGATTCATACCAACAGCAAATCCAGATGGTTGGCAATTAAAGCATTTGAATGTCATGGACTGGAAAGATTCGCTCATAAATTCTCATGCACAAAAAAAGAACCTCTTCAAGTGCAGAGCAGAAACATTGCGTCATCATTTAGTTTTTATATACATCATCATTATATTCATGTGAGTTTGCCCAGCTCCTCAGTGCTTTGAAAGGTGCATTAACACTTTGTCTGCACACTTAGGTTTTTCAAGAGTTGCTGTCTAAATGATTCCTTAGTGATTCTGCAGCTAATAAAGGTCTCTGTGCAAATTCTGAACTGATCTCAGGAAGTACATTAGTTGGTGAGAATTATTCATCAAAAGCATTATTCTTGAAACATTTTGATTTTACACTGAGAAGGGTTTAGACTAATTCCAAGTATTTATTAACAACAAAAGCATGCCAAAATGACCATGCTAGATAGGAATCTGATACAGCTCTTGCCTCACCCAAATTTAATGCCATGGATGTTAAGATTAAACAACTTTTCCAATCCTGTCAGCAGTGCAGAAAATCCACTTAAGATATACCACACATATTCTGCTAAGACTGCTGTTCTAGTCTGATCTCCTAGGTTTCTGTACATTTGCTCTTGGATGGATTTTTTTCTCCTTCCACAGCTACTCAGCTAGTGATTCACGGGGACAACTATCTGGGTTTTTTGGTTATTTAGGTTAATTTTGCATTGGTCAGCTTCCTGAAAGGGTTCCTCTCCATGGTCATCTGATAAACCCTTGGTATCTAGTGAGCCACACTTCTTATCTTAGCATCAGTGATTTTGTCAATTTTATGTCTTAAACATCTTTTGAATCTGATCAGCCAGTTTGGACATTCACCTCA